GCCTCTGCCTCCCGAGTGCTGGGATTAAAGGCATGCACCACCACACCCTGCTCAGCCTCTTTTTTAAAAAAATATTTTATTTATTATTTTTATTTTATGTGTATGGTGTATTGCCTGCATGTAGGTAAGTGCATCCCTGTTGTGCAATGCCTGTGGAGGACAGAAGAGGGTGTCAGATCCCCTGGAACTGGAGTTATGGACAGTTGTTAGCTGCCATGTGGGTGCTGGGATTCAAACCTGGGTCTTCTGCAAGAACAGCCAGAGTTCTTAACTGCTGAGCCGTCTCTCCAGCCCCTTTATTCTGTTTTTTATTCCCAGCAAAATTCCTTCAGGGGTATCTATAGTTCCTTCTCTGTGCTTTTTACCAATTCCAATTGATCTCCCCGCCCCCATCTCCCTTTCCCTTCCCCTGCCATGTTCTTTGCCACAAAGGCTATACCACATTTTACATTCTCAATGACAGTACCCAGTATTTCAATTTCTCTATATCCTAGCTGATATTTTTTTCTGTCCAGATAGTAGCTATTCTGATAAGCATGAAGTAGCATCACAGCATGTAATTTTTACAAAACAATCAAACAGACAAATACCCCAGAATCAGCCTGACGTGGTGGCCCATGCCTCTAATCCCAGCACTTGGGAGGTGGAGGCAGGAGGATCAGAAAGACTCATATACGTAGAGATCTCAACAGAAATGGAGTAGAAATAATAGACCCAGAACTAGGACCCTGAAGATATGTATGTTTGGATGGAGGGGGTAGGATGGAGGATCAAGGGGTCCTAGAAAGGAGAATGAATGAGTAGGGAGCAAGTGGAGAGACCGTGCCCTTGAAAGTCACCCAGCACAGACTGTGTGGACAGGGTATTTTGTATGTCAATAGTTCAATGATTGTTTTACGCTCTTGAAGCTATTTCTGTGATTAGATTTTGGATGTACCCCCACAAACCCATGCGATGAAAGCTAATATTGAAAGTATGGCCTCCGGCTGATGGTGCTACTGGGAAGTGGTGGAACCTTTAGGAGGTGGAGCCTAGTGGGAGGAAGTTAGACATTTGGGGCATGTTTTTGAAGGAGATGTTGGGACCTCAGCCCCTTTCCCCACTCATTCATGGCTGCCATGTGGTGAACAGATCCTTGGTCACACTCTGCTCGAAACCATGTGCTGTGATTCGACGACCCCAAAGCAACTGGGTCAAGCAACCATTGAGTAAGTCTAAATAAGACTTTGCTCCTTTATATTATTTATCTTAGGTATTTTGTCACAGTGATGGAAAGCTGACTGGTCCAGCTACAAAAAGTCAGGATAGCAAGGTGAACTTGGGTGGGATTTCCAAGTTCTGTACTGATCCCAGGGTTCAGGGCCTGGTTCCTAGGATTGCAAGTCTAGAAACTAAAGCTTCTCAACGGCCTTGTATGTGCATAGATCATGCTAGCCCACTTCACAGGAGATGATTACACAAACAAGAATGATGGCATGGAACTGCCAAGTGCTTGGGGCATGTGTACACTTCCTACTAGACTATACAGTTGTTAACATATTTGTATATATGCTTTATCATGTCCCACATCCATCTGTCCATCCATCCATCCATCCATCCATCCATCCATCCACAATCTGTCAATCAATCATCTATTAGCTACCTTCTCTCTGCTTACCACCCTTCTATTCATCCATTTATCCTTCTATCAACCATCCATCATTCCACCTATCATTCCATCCATCCATCCATTCATCCACCCACCCACCCACCCACCCATCCATCCATCCATCCATTCGTCCATCCATCATCTATTATCTACCCTCTCTTTGCCTGCCAGGCATCCATGCATGCATGCATTCATCAAATTGTGATAGTTTAAAAGTAAACTGAAATAAGATGATCATCGTGTTCTCTCTCCTGTGGACATGAGAAGCCTTCTTGATAAGAATATTTAGCTGTGGGTGGTGATGCACACCTTTAATCCCAGCACTTGGGATGCAGAGGCAGGGGGATCTCTTTGAATTTCAGTAACAGGATTCAGAGGGATTCAAATAACTCTCATGGTGAGAGCTAGTGAGAGGGCTAAGAAAGTGGGAGGTATGGAGCTAGGTAGTTGAGTACTCTGACTATTTACGTCAGGCTCCTGTCAGCTTGTACCCTCTATGGCCTTTGCTTGGACCTTCATTACTTTTTCATGCCCCAGACTTACCCTTCCTGGTTGGTGCATGGAACCATTTTGGGCAGCTCTTAAAGTGGCATTTTCCTATACAAGTTATTTCTCCAATGCATCTTTGGTTTGAACTAAACAAAATCTCCACTTATCAGGAATATTGATTCTGATTTTTTTCTCTCATGATTTCAGCTGTCAGTCTCTGAGCATTTGTTACGTGATTGGCAGATAGAAAATTATAAAACATCACTATTTGGAATAATGGAGGTATTGTATCCATTTGTCAAATCTCATGTCAAAACATGTCACGATGTGTTATGTTTATAATGACAAAATCTAGGTGGGCTGGAGAGATGGCTCAGTGGTTAAAAGCATTAGCTATTTTTGCAGAAGACCCGGGTTTGGTTCCCAGTACCCACGTGGTAGCTAACAACTGTCAGTAGCTCCAGTTGCAGAGGTTCCCATGCCTTCTGCTGGCCTCTGTGGACATTGTACAACACGGGTGCACTCACTCACATGCAAGCAAAACACTCATACACATAAAAATAAGTTAAAAAAAAGATTGGCATGGTGGCACACACCTTTAATCCCAGCACTTGAGAGGCAGAGGCAGGTGGATCTCTGTGAGATCAAGGCTACATAGTGAGCTCCAGGCCAGCTGGGGCTACAGGGAGACCATGTTTCAAAAAACCAAAAACCAAACCAACCAAACAAAAAACCCATCCAAAAACTAAAATCTAAAGATTTCTTTTTAAAAAATTTTATTTTTATTTTATGTGTATGAGTGTATTGCCTGTATGTATATAAGTGTGCCCATGTCATGTAAGGCTTGAGGAGGTTAGAATAGGGTGTCAGATCCTCTGGAACTGGAGTTATAGATGTTTTTAGCCATCATGTGGGTACTGAGATTTGAACCCTGGTCTTCTCTAAGAATAGCTAGTGTTCTTAACCACTGAGCCATCTCTCCAACCCCCCAAACAAAATCTAAACAAGTACAGAATCTAAGTACATGAGGAAGTGTGTAGGGGGTGGCGCATTCTGATACATGTAGCTCACTTAGTAATGTATCAAAAGTAGGATAAATTTATAGGTATTCACTTTATTTAGACAGTGGAGAAAAGGATTCAAAATGTCATCTCATAGTGGAGAGAATGGTGAGGTGTTGGTCCAAGAGTATAAAGCTCAGTTAGACAGAAAAGAGCAGTATTTGGGATTTTATTGCACAGCATGGGTGACTGCAATTAATAAAATATAATCTCAAAATTGTTAAGAGAGTAGGTAGGTGTGTATGTGTGTACTGAGGATTGAGCCAGGGCCCTTGGGCATGCTAGGCAAGTGCTCTACCACTGAGCTACATCTTCGGGCCTTATTTATTTATTCATTTATCTATCTATCTATCTATCTATCTATCTATTTATTGGTATTTTTGAGACAGGGTCTTCCTGTATCCCTAGCTGGCCTGGAACTTGCTATATAGACCAGGCTAGTCTCCAATTCACAGAGATCCGCCTGCCTCTGCCTCCCAAGTGCTGGGATTAAAGGCATGTACCACCATGCCAAGTACTATTTATTTTTGAGACAGGGTCTCACTATATAACCTTGGCTGGACAAGAACTCACTATATAGACCAGGCTGGCCTTGAACTCACAGAGACCTACCTGCCTCTGCCTCCTGAGTGCTGGTTATATATATATATATATATATATATATACTTATGGATCTAATTGATGGGAAGGGCCATATCTGATCATGACAGAGCAAGAGGATGGAAAGACCTTAGGTCTCTGAACCCCATATATGTATATGTATATGAGTCAGTTTATCATCCAATCCTTCTCCTTTCACAAATATATTTGGGCATGTCCCTTTCCCAAAGGTGGGATTTTAGGAGTGAAGAGAGAGCTGTCTTCCAGCACACACTACAAAGAAAGGTGTCATGGGGTGACTGTGACTCTTGGCACTCAAATGGGCTCACTTATCTGAGTATCTCAAGTCCTTGTGACTGCTTTTATTTTATTTTTTTGTCAGGGATGGGGGCAGCTGCTCTGGCTTTGGTTTAGAAAGCTCATCCACAGAAAATATTTGATAAATCAGAACGCAGAGTTCCATTATCCCTCCTCGAAATGGGGCCTCTGTCTGTCTGTTAGGATGTCTGGAGAACAGAGACATAAACACAGAATTGGGAATCTAACATTAATGCAGTTTTCATTTGCTATCAGCTTACTCCACTGCCTCTGAAATGCTATTAAAAATGCATGCAGGATGTGCACAAGATGAGACATATCAAAATACAACTTGATTCTAATTGACAATGACACTCCATTTCTCAGGCCCTTTAGCGTCCAGTGGCTTTGAGCCACCTGGGACAGAACCCAGGGCCGAATATGAGCAGGAGGGGAAAGGGGCCTCCAAGTGTGGTAAGTACCACCAGAAACCCAGGAAGCTCAACTCTGGGGAGGTTGGGACAGGGAAATCTGTGTCATGTGCTTTACATTAGTGATGGCAGCCACCCCTTACTGAGCACTTACACAATGTTCCCGTGTGCCAGGTGATGTGTTTTTTCCTTCCCAGTCTTGGGTCTGCAACCCAAGAACTCATGCATGCTAGGCGACCCCTGCATCACTGACCTGCATACCTATTCTTCTGGTCACATGCTTTATATGTAGTAACATATTTAATTCTCACAATATCCCAATGATGTAAGCTGTTGTTAACCTCATTTACACAAGAGGCTGAGAGTGGTTAGGTGATGTGCTTAATATGATGCTCAACAGGTGGTAGAGCAGGAATTTCGACCTGGCAGACTGGCTCCAGAGCCAACACTGGTGTAGGGGAGTGCGTGTGTGTGTGTGTGTGTGTGTGTGTGTGTGTGTGTTTAATACACATAATTCTGGAAAGCCATGTATCTGGTTTCCTAATTCTCAGTAGCTTAGGAAATGGGATTGCTGCAAACAAATCTACTCATTATAGCAAACAACTTTACTGTGGACCACAGTGGCTATTTCTTGCTGTTAGGGATGGCCAGGTAGCTAAGTGCTGTCCCTGGAATGGAGCAGAAGCAATGTGTTCCAAGTCATACAAAGGCTGCCTTTCTGCCTGTCCTTCACAGGTTGGGACATCGTCTTATGGATCTAATTGATGGGAAGGGCCATATCTGACCATGACAGAGCAAGAAGATGGAAAGACCTTAGGTCTCTGAACCTGCATAGTCACCATGGGAACCCTGAATTGCATTGCTACAAGCAAGAGAAATAAATTTTCTTGTTTACATTGCCTTGAGTCTCTATGAGAGCAGCCAGATTTGCAAGTTGAATGATATATCACAGGTGGCAAAAGAAAGATTATATATATGTTTGCTGCATTTTATTAACAAGCCAAGGAAATGTTCAAAGTATGTTAGAATAAGTTCAGTAACAGACCAAGCTCTGAAGCTTAGCAGGCACTTTGATGATCTGGAAATGTTCTTGGAAAATTCCTTATCAATAGCAGAAAAAGGAGAGGTATGTTTTATTTGACCGATGTAATTAAGAATGCATGATTATTTAGTTCCATTCAGTTCTGCAAATGTATGGAGCTGCTATTGTGTGCTCAGAAAGACCAATAGAGCCTGTGCCCACAGGGAGCTCTCAGGGGCTGGTTCAGGAAAATCTGGTATAGGATAACTGACCCAAAGGGGTCAAGAGACTGAAGAAACAGACAGATCAGGATGACAGAGAACACCTAACTGGAGATACACTAATGGAAGAGTGGTCATTTATTGACAGGAGAGCTCAATCCCTGCCATTTGGGTCAGAAGGAGGGACTTCTACAGTCAGGACAGAAGAGACTTTTATCTAAGCTGAGACATATCTGGTCTATCTCAAGATGATGCTAGACACGTTCCTGGCTCTGAGAGCACCATCATCCAGTCAGAGTTCCACATACCACTCTAATGGTTTTGTTTGTCTATAGCTCTGGGAAACTAGATGAGGAAATGTACCAGGGTCATAGTAAGAATGCAAGACAGCAGCACTCAGGTCAAGCTGGATCGTTACAGTGGCTGTAGAAGACACAGACAGATGAGCATGTGGAGACAAAAAAGGATCAGGGATGGGAAGCATAGAGTATAACTTTGACTTGGGGCCCAAGAAGGCTTTTTGGGGGCTGAGGCTGTAGTTGGTAGAATGCTTGTTTAGCATGCATGAAACCCTAGGTTTGATCCCCAGTACCCCATGAACCAGGTGTGATGATGCATACTCTAACCCCAGCACTCAGGAGGTAGAGGCAAGAGGATTAGAAGTTCAAGGTCATCCCCTGGCTATATAGTAAGTTCTAGGCTAGCCTGGGCTACATGAGATCCAGAGATCCAGAGAGATGAGAGAGAGAGAGAGATAGATAGATAGATAGATAGATAGAGAGAGAGAGAGAGAGAGAGAGAGAGAGAGAGAGAGAGAGAGAGAGGCTCTCTGGTGACATCCAGTCAAAATAGTGTGCTGAACCTCAGGAGGATCCTCTCTGCTGGATGATATGGAGGTTCCCTTAAACAAAGGAGCTCCTGTTCCATAGACAGGGAGCTGAAGAGCTTCTCAGCATGGAGAAATATATGGGACCACAGAAGCTTCCATCTTGAAACCCCCTTTCTCTCCCACCCCAAAGCAGGTTCTGGCAGACTTTAGGATATCCATGTGGTTCTTGATGTAAGTCAGCAAGCATCACCTTCTGCTGCCAGCTCAGTCATAAGGGTCTTCAGCTCCAGTATCTCCATCCTTTTTTTTTTCCTTTTTCTTTCTTTGACAGGGTTTCATGTAGCCCAGGATGGTCTTAAACTCTTTGTAGCCAAGGATGACCCTGAACTCCTGATCTCCCTGCCTTCACCTCCTGAGTTCTTGGATTACAGGCATACACCCAAACCCCTATGTCCAGTCTCTTCCTTCATCCTGAGGAAGTGTAAGAGCCAGGCATGGAGGAACACACCTTTAATCCCAGCACTCAGGAGGCAGAAGCAGGTGTTATCTCTGTGTATTGGAGGTCAGCTTGGTCTACATAGTGAGTGCCAAGTCAGCCAAGGTTACATAGTAAGACTGTCCCACAAAAAAAAAAAAAAAAAAAAAAGG